AAATTATTCTCTTTGGCTCCCATTTTTCTTGGACAATGTACCCTGTTAGAGATTGATCATCTAGATGTTAGTAATCATTCTTTAACTTATACTCAACTAGGGTCGTTTTGACTCACTTCCCTTCTGCTTATGATTTCAGATCTCACGGCATTTGTTTATGGTTTTGAATTATAGCAACAGCCACTTATGATTAATGTGGTTTTGGACTATAAAAGGTATACTCAAACCCCAGGAGGGGGTCGAAGGGTGCAGACTTTCAGCCTGCTCCTTGGCCCATCAACTGGTGGATCTGGAACCACCAGCAGGTGAATAAAGGTTCTGTCTCCTGCTTTAAGATAGACTAGGTGATTTATGGCAATCTTGCCATAACTATCTAGAGTGCAAGGTCCCTTCCTTGGTTCCTTGTTGGCTGAGTACTATGGCATCTGTACAGTCACCTAGGTTTTAATGTCTCCTATTGGGTTATTTGAAGAAATATGCCTTGGGTCATTTAAAGTTATCCCCAAGTCCCTTTGTTATCTTGTGGTGGGAAAGTCTTCTTAGGGTGAATGCATTCTGACAAACATGCAGCTTGCTGTTCTCTTTCTGCTGGCCAGGCCCACCCCTTCCCAGCCCTCTTGTTTGTCAAGGGGCTGTTCAGGTGCAGTGGACTTTGGATTTGCCACACCCACAGGCTGTAGTGCTATTTTGCAACTTTCCCTTCTCTAGATCCCCTCTGGGGGCCTTTCTTTCCTTCTAATTTTAGATTTAAGGCTGAGTACTGTATTCTGAAAATGGACCACTGGACCACTTCTGTTTGAAGTGATGGTGCAACACTTTTCAGGATATAAAAAGCAAAGTGTGTCTTTCTTTTTTCCTGGAATACTTGTTCTTGAAAACCATCTATCATGTAAGCAGTCCTCTCCTAACCCTAACTCCCCATAATTGAATCCAGGGACACTCTACCACTGAACTACATCCCCAAACTTTTTTTTTAGTTTTTGAGAAACAGTTTTGCCATATTTCTCAGGCTGGCCTTGAACTTTCAATCCTCCTGCCTCAGTCTCCCAAGTCATTGGGATCACTGGCTTACGTCAGTAAAGCAGTTCTTTTTTTTTTTTTTTTTTTTTTTTTTTTAGAGTGAGAGAGGAGAGAGAGTGAGAGAGAGAATTTTTTTTTAATATTTATTTTTTAGTTCTCAG